GCAGCATCCTCGGAGCAAGCATGAACAACTTCCACCCCGCTGTTTCCTGCGCGCGTGCGTCCCCCAGCGCATCCCGGATCAGCCTAAGGCCGGCGCGCAACGCGAAAGCGAGGAGGCCGCGCAGCCAGCCCGGGACCCCCTGCAGCGTCAACGTGCGGACGCGGAGTACAGCAGCAAGGTCGATGTCGTTCAAGGCGTCCAGTCCTCGCTGAATTGCCGCCTCGGCCACATCCACCTGGTTGCGGGCGCCGCCCCTGGCACCCCTTCGCCGACCCTGTTGCACGCGCCGTGTGGGCAAGCTGCCTTCGCCTGGCTCCAACTCCGGCGTTGCCTCCACACTCGGGTGAAGTTCCGGTCGCGTGGCAGAGACTAGGCGGAAGGCGTCTGCGGAGCGCAGGAGCTGCGCCGCCGCCTCCTGGCCAGCAAAGGCCTCAACCAGCGTCTCTTGCACCGCCGCGTGGAAGTACCCATCAGCTTCGACGAGGGAAGAAGCGATGGCCGCAAGCGGCAAGGACACGGCGCGACTGGTTGTGTCCGGTAGCCGCTCGGCCGCTTGATGCGCCCCCAGCCCCCGCAGCACGAGACGGACGGCGTCCACATCTGCTGGGGCCGCCTCCTGCAAGTGTTGCACCATGGGCAGCCACCCCGGCCACGTTGTCTGCTGCGTCCACTCCTCAAAAGCAGTGCGGGCCAAGGTGCCGGCGGCGGCGTGGAGCAAGGGCACGTACAACCAACCAGGAATTGCCCCGAGTGGAAACAGCGCCCGACGGAGGCAAGAGGCGGGGCGGGGCGGGCTAAAGGAGCGTGGGGGAGAGGCGGGCGCGTAGCCCGGCGTCACGGCGCCAGGCTGGCCCGGGGCGGCCTCTCCACCAATCGGCCCCTCGGGCTCGTCAACGCGGGGCGTCTCATCGGGCAACGTGGCCGCTTCAGACGAGGGCACGCTCACTGTGGCTAGTGGGAGAGACATTGCCGGGCCTGCGCCACCCCCGAGCGCGGGAACATCGCCTGAGGCATCACTCCAAAGGCTGGGCGTGCGCCAGCCCATCGGGCCGGCGGGTCCGGGCACTGATATGCCCGCTCTGGACAGGGCGGCCGCCGCAAACGCACGCTGCGTCACCAACTGATCGGCCTCCCCGGGCCCCGGGTTTTTGGCCTCTCCGACTCGGCAGCCCGCCCAGGGGCCGCAATGCGCACGCACACGTCGGGCAAAAAGTGCAGCAGCCGCCCCCAATCCCCAGCCCCAACACACCCGACCCCCCTCCCTGCGCGCTTTTTGTATCCACCGAGCAAGCGTCACGGCCGCGAATAGCAGCCGTCCGGCCGCTCGAGGCAGCCAATTGCTGAAAAACACGACCCTACGGTCTCGCCTTCGCGCGCAAGCTGTAGGGCTGGGTGAGGCTTGGGCCTCCTCAGCGGCGCCCCTCCGCTGCCAGGATCGCCTCAGCAGCCTGGACCAGCTGCCGCTGGAGCTGCGGGCCAGAACGTCCACCGCCTCGGTCCCTTACCACCTTGGCGCCCCAGGCTGCGGCTGCGGCTGCGGCTGCGGCCGCGGGTGCGGCTCCGGCCCCGGTTGCGGTCTCTGCTGCGGCCGCGGTCCTGCTGCGGGGCCGGTGGACGGGGCGGCTCCTCGTAGTCCTCCGGCTCCGCGTGGGCCTCAGCCAGGCCGCGGACCAGCCCAACCACCCCCTCCAGGAAGGCCGTGACCACGGGATCCAAGCTCTCTGGCAAGCTTGGCCCCTGCACCAGCCGCTGCAGGTCGATGAGTGCCCGGCATGCTCGGCAGTGTGGCCCAGTCGCCACGTCACGCAAGCGGCACGCTGAGCACGCCATGTGGGTCCTAGCCAGACAGGGGTTACAGGCCGGCGTAAGCTGAGCCAAACACGAGTCGGCACGGGTACATTCAAAAGGGAACAAAAGGGGACCGAACCAGAGGGCAACAGGGTACCCGGCGAACCCCTTCCTTTTTCAGCAGCCTCGGAAAACCCATGGTGCGAGGGGGCAGCCCGACTATAACGGGTTTGTGCAGGCACGGGCCGGCCGCGCCACGCCTTGGCCGCTCCAGCTCGGCAGCCCGCCTCAGGGACGCATGTCATTCGCACGCGCGACGACCAGAAACTCACGCCGTCAGCAGCCTCACGGCCGCCGCACCGTCGCGCGATGACGCCCCGAGCAACAAGGTACCCTCCGCAGCGGCGCAGGACGGCAACCTGAGGGCCGCTTAGCACCGCAGCCCCTCCTGCGGTCACGCCGCGCTGCGGCTCGAACGACGGCCTCCCCCGCGGTGCCTCGCCCCTCCGACGTCCGGCGGCTGGGCGGGCAGCAGCTGACCCGCCGGCGCCGGCCCTGCCAGCGTCTGTGCCGCCGCCGCCCCTGCCAGCGCTTGCCGTAAGAGTTGGCAAAGCAGCGTTTCGGAAGAGCACCCCGCACCGCGTGCGATTGTGCGAGCCTCCTGTGCGCCGCCGAGCCGGAAGCTTTCCAAGACAGCGGCCGCAGCCTCCATGGCAGCCTGAGCGTCGGAGCAAAAGCCCTGCTCCTCCAAAACCAAGGTCGCTAACCGACGGTCCGTGGGCCGCGAAAATGCCCAGGGCCACGCCCAGCAGCAGCCCGGCCGCGCCCCCGACGCAAGCCCAGCCCCATGCCAAGCTCAGGGGGCCAAACCCGGTGGTGAAGTACACCGGGGCCAGCAAAGCATGGGCCACACTTTGCCGGCACGTCGCGGGCAAGGACGCAGTGAAGGCAAAAGCCGAGGAGGCAGCATTGAACAAGGCCGACCACCCAGGCGCCAGCCATCCTGCCGCTGCTCCCAACCACAAGGGTACGTCGGCCATAGGAGATCCGCTACGCGGACTGGGGGGCAAACAGAGCGAAACTAAACACCTACGTTTCGAAGAGCCTTGAGACTTGAGCCCAGCCTTGAGCCTTGAGCCAAAATTTCCTTGAGCCAATGTCGACTTGCCGCGCAAGGTCGCCCTCCAAGATGTTCGTCAACGCCGATGCCAGCTTTGCGTCAAGATGGACAAACATTCCTGAATCACGAAGGACTTCAACAGTTTGACCTGGCATCCAAGTTGCCTCAATCCACTCAAACGCCTTCTCGGGTTGATCGGAAGTAGCAACAACAGCATCCCCAACTTTGATCCTCCAATTACGGTACTGTTCGGGGTTCGGGAATCGGGGAATCTGAATTCTGTCACCCTCCTTTACACGAACGCGTTCCGTTGTCGGATCGCTCGAATTACCTAAGTGCTTCAGTAGCTTTCGTCGAAAGGATTCATCCGATGCAGTCGAAGTTGATGATGAAGATGACGAGGGAGAAGATGACGGATCTCGTCGCCGGCGTCGGCTACGGTCCTTCTTCTTCTTCTTCTTCTTCTTTTTCTTTTTCTTGTCCTTGTCATTTCCACCATCGCCATCATCGCCAGGCCAACCGTCTCCGGTAGCAGCATCGTCCACGGCCCCGGCGGGAACGGATCCGTCTTTGCCGTTGGGGTCGCTCCCGACCTTCGTCCAACTGTGCGAGGAAGCATTCGAAAGTCCGGGTGGAGATGCGGCCAAAGGAATTGTTGGGATAGCCAAGGGGGTAGCTGGTGCCTGCTGAACGGGAGGTGCAGGGGCCGGAGCAGGTTGAGCAGGCGGTTGCTGTTGATTCTGCATCATCTGCTCGACCGTGGCCCTTAGCTCCCTGATCTCTCCCTCCTGCTCGCTGATTGTATTCATGGCGTTTTGGTACTTAATCTCGGCTTCTCTTTCCGATTTCATGGTGTTCACACGCTGCTCCGCATTCATCTGAATCTCGCGTCTCATGGCCTCCGATTGGCTTTGAAGTCCGGCAATGATCTCACCATGCCTTGCCTCCGCCATCTGAGCGACCATGGGACCGGTGTCCTGATTCACGAACTGGTTGAACTGGGCATTGTTCTGAGTAGCGTTGACCTGCTGATAGTTCGTCACCTGCTGGTTGATCGTCATCGAAGGATCGAGGTGAACGTTTGCAACATGTTGATTGAACTGATTCATGGACTGTGGCATAGGGTTTCCCCTTGCAAGATCGGTCTGGGGGTCGTACATGACGATGTCACCATGCCGACGCCGATCTGATCCAACAGGTGAAGGAGATCGAGCACCAGGCCGCCCAGTCCTCCCACGGTCACTTCGAGATCGAAGCGATTCGGGGCCCTGACTGCTCAAAGCCTGTCCCTTCCTGATGAGCTCCCTGGCCACTTGGGAATTCGCGCGACTAGTCGGTTCGTATTGCGAGGCGTCTTCATCGCCTGCGGGCTCATCAGGTATGGGACGCACCTCAGTAGGGGGTAGTCCAGGATCGCCATCCATGGCGTACAACTCTGTACAAAGAGCCGCTTACGGCTGATAACCTATAGAACGGGTTAAACAACCAAAAAGAGTCAACAATGAACCCTGCCTACAGCGCGCCTTTTACTTGAGCCACGCGCAGTCGTAATGATGAGACTGCGCAAGTGAGACATTCATGCATTGGGGTTTTACATGGTTGATAAATACATCACGTTGCAAACTACACATTCAAATGCACAAACACTCTTTTCATGTATAGTTGGTTGTGCCGATGTGCGGCTTTTGGGTGCCATTGCTTCCACTTGACCATGTGACAATGTTTTCGCGTCGCACCTGCGACCCAATCGTGGGTTTGTCTGTTCGACTCAGCGATTTTGGGGAACAAACATGGGAGCAGCAGCAGCAGCAGCAGCTGCTGCAAAACAACCATGGAGAAGTGGTTTAGGCAATGAAGGTGTCAAGTAAGCGCAGTCATGTCAGTGTGTTCTGATTGGCGCAACGCTGCTCGCAATACAAATTCAGCAAAGCTCGCATGTGCTCATTGCCTTTGAGAATCATTCGCAATATGCCTGGGATACTCGTGATCAAATATGACCTAGGCCCTGGCAACCCAAGCAATGTACGCACAAAGCCGCGCTCTAAGCAAGTGCCACCACCATATCCAGCTTCAAGCTGTACAGCCAAGGCTCCCCAGGAAAGCCCAAGGACCAGAACTGCATCGACTCGAAGAGAGGGAGTTCCGCCAAGGGCTCGCCCTCCTCCGCGATGTAGAGCTGCACATGTTCCGGGGTGAAACCTGGGAATTTCGAGCAGCTACTGCGGCAAGCCCTGGTCCCACTGCAATCTGTGAATTCTGGGGAACGATACTCCGATTAGAGTAGAGTTACTGTAGAAAATGGAGAATAGCGACAGCTAGCAACTGCTACACCAGTTTCTTGGCCAGTGTTTGGCGCTGTCTGCCATCCTCGATTGCAGCCATGCAGCTGTCCACTCGACAACTTTCCGTCCTTATGTTGCGTGCCGGACGAACAAAGCACGCTTCCATTCTGAGCGTCAAAGGGCTCTCCCTTGTCCCTTATGAGCCAATATACATATACCGACGAAGCGCTGCCCCACTTTCCAAGATATTCATGTCACAAGGTGTTCACGGGCTTTGTTCCTTCTTTTTGTCATTCTGTTTTTTTCTTGTTCTTTCTTCTTTTTTTCGGGGGCTTGGAACGGTTTGGGCGCTTTGTGAAAATGCTTTGTCTTTGATCAGGTTCACGCTTGCAAATGCGCGTCAGCCAGTTTGATAGGAAGTGGGCCGGGGAAACCCCTGCGACAAACCATTGTAGGATAGTTCAGGGGATGAAGTATGAAAGGTTGCCCAACATGGAGGCCGTGAATTCGCACAAAACCTTCCTGCATGGACCCAAGTTACTCACTCCGGGGTGTTGTTTCACCAAAGAAACACGAGCACTTCTGAGTGCCCGGGACAGGCTGGAACAAACAAAGTGCAACTGAGGCGAACATGCATCACAGTGCTTCCGCACGAAGGCTGTGCAAGGTGAGTTGAGAGTTGTCAGGTGCGCTACCTACAAGTCATCCAAATTCGCCGCTCAAACAAGACACATGACCATTGGCTCCGGCTTCTGGTCCAAATTCGACACTTGCGAACGAACACCCAGGCCAGCTCATGAGGTTGCTTGGAACCACCCACCTCAATGTTTCAACGTCGGCTCTGGCGAGGACATATCGTGGAACTTGCAGAAGAATGCTTGGGCTGGGTCTGAGCCTTACGTCATCAACCGCTTGTCCTCCTTACCCTGTGCAAAACCACGGACGAATCTTCCCGCCAAGAACATTCGAGCCCTGTGCGCGACCTGGAAGCAAGCCACAGGCAATGTTTTCATCCAAGCGCGCGTGGCGTGATTGGGCACCACCTTCAAAACAAATCTGCCGACGCCAGTCGAGCGTGTAGATGGCAGTCCGCAACTTGGTCTTCCTTCGGAATCTCTTGTCAAAGCCGAAGGCTTTTGGGGCTGCCATTTTCTGGGCATGGTGTGCTGTGTGTCCAAAACCCTGTATTTGTCCGTGCAAAAATCTGCGTTTCGCCTAGGTCTCTGGGGGGGGTGGGGTTCCCTCGGACGCGCCATCCCCGGCATCATCAGGACTATCTTGCTGCCATGAATTTGTCTCTTTTTCTTTTGCAGATACAAATGGTGTTTTGCTGTTCCAAGCGATGTTGGAATTGGCCTGTTGGGGGTCTGGGTGGGGCCAAGTGCAGTGATACGTTGAGGAACTGCTTGAATTTGCAAAAATGAACGTTTTTGATGCTTTTTGCAGCTCCCCACCTGTACAAAGCAGTTACGGCGAAACATCCCCTGCAGCATCGTGCTTCTGGAAGTCTATTTTTTAGGGTAATTATTTGAGGGGGTTGCCAGTATCTGCTTTTGATGGTTGATTCTTGGGAATATCAAAGAACCATGGTTTTTGCACTTCTGTGTGGCCAGCCGGCTGGCACTCCCAGCATTCCCGACATCTCTGGTATTACCCGCGTTTGGTCAATTTTGCGTGTCTGAAAGTCTTGAAATTTTGGATGCGAAGATTGGGTCTGCTCCTGTAATTGCATCCCTTGCATGTCCAGCATCCCCAGCATCACTTCCATGAAAAAATGAAAAAGGTCTAAAAATCCCTTGCACCCCAATAGCCTCGGCGGATCGCGCAGCGACTTCAATAGCTATGAGTGTGAAAATTTAGTCGGGGTCTCTTTGGTGAACAATATTTACGTGGATGGTGTCCACCAAACATTTGTTGACGGCATTCCCCGAAAAGAACTGAACATAGTAACCTTGGAAACAGGGCTGCCTTCTCCTGGATTGCTCAAACCTGATCCAAGTTCGTAACACGTTGAGGGGGCAACCCCTAACATCTCGCACAAGGGTCCAGGAGTTGCCCAAACCCCCATGAATTTAAATAAGGAACCCCCTGAAAAGTGGTTGGTGATGTTGGTGGACATGAAACCCCACCTAAATGATGTCCAACAGAAAATCCCTGAATAGAAATCATGCCCATTTCACTGGGTCTGGTCACCCCGAGGCACAAGCTCAACTTGACCTGCAGCTGCGCCAAGGCTTTCCCCGGGGGCGCCCCGATCTCCAGCCAGGCGTGGCCGGAATACATCTGGCCAGCAATTTCGGTCCCCCACCCCTAAGCAAACAAGCCAGCAAACAAACAAGTGTTAGGCGGGGGAATGCGTGGCCTGGGTGTACTTTTGACAGGTTGAGTCTGTACATTTCCATCTCCCCCCCCCCCAACTTGAACATTGCACACTCGTTCCTCTGGACCCCCTCCCACACCTCGCAAATGTCAAGGCAAAAGTTGCGCACATTTACGTCCCCACCCCCTCCCCCCGCCCGGTACATTGACCCTTTCATGGTGACGCAAGGCATCAGGAGCACTCATTTTCACCGCGATGAACATAGCCACAACTGGGATCCAATGGGCCAGCGAGCTCCAAAACCCACACCATTTCTGATCATGACCTGACCCAGATTGCCACTCTCGTGGGCAACAATGCCAGGCCTCATCTGACTGCCAGCAGTTTGGCTGCTGGACCGGGCCGGGCGGAGTAAAGCCCCGGTGTCCTGGGAGTTGCCAACCGTCCATCCGTCCAACTTGTCAAATCAATAAGATGCTTGAAGAAAACCAAAAGGAAACTAACCTCCTGGAGAATTCTGATAAGAAATTGGGCATGACGCTTGGTTGGACCCTTCCGTAATTTACTTGGCTAAATGTACGTTGGTCGCATGCCAACTGCCAACCAACCAATGCCCATAAAAGTCCATGGCAAGCTGCTACAATGGTCATGGCCTTATTCCAAATGGCGGACGTCTTGGCCCGGACACATTGCAATTACTGACTGGGGCAATTTGGAACGCTGATGCAAGTCCGAAGCGCCTCCCTCAACATGGGGGAGCGATGCCCACAGTTGCTCGCAGCAAGGCGCAATGACGCATGAGTACATACAAAACCCAATGGGCCAATAGATAAGTGGACGATCTAAGCAAGAGGCCAACCCCGCATGATCCTCCTTCTTTCAACGCAGACAAACCAACAGACTTTAAGACGCCAACAGCAATGGAACAAAGCAAACAATCGGCCTCGCGAGTCAGTCACAAGCTTCACAACACCAATGCAGTCACTTGCTGGCGCCCCGGGGCACCTCTTTTCTAGTGAAGACGGCTTTCTTTCATCTGCTCACTAAAGCCTTCTACGGCAACGACGCTGACTTGTCTCTTAACCACTGCCAAAGTGTCACTGAGCCTAGGCGTGTTGGAATCCACGAGGAAAACAAAAGGAAACCGCCAGTTGATCTACTTGATCCTGACGTTTTGACACACAAACAAAGGACCCACAGGCGCACGGACGCGCTATCCAGAATGTACCACATTCTCTCTTGCTACTATCTCTCTTTGCGCTGAGTCTCCTCCTTTCCCGCGCCGATTCATGCCGCCCTTGCCACGTACTACTGCAAGTTCCCTGCGCTCCTGCTCGGGCGGAACTTTTGGCAGGCCGATTTGAACAGCCGGTCTAGGAGTTCTAGAGCAACATTGAGCAAGTGACCAACTCGTAAGGTTTCGTTGAGTTTGGGACAGCTTCGTATTTGCCAGGCCTCAGCCCCAAATTTTCTGCTGGCAGTGGAGCAAGAACATTGCCCTGCATTGCAAAAGTCCATTCTTAGGCGGGCCTCCTGCGCCAGGCCCCGGTAAGCAACGGTACTCTTGTAATTCCAGCCTTTGGCCTGGATGCTGCCACTGAAGGCCGAAGCAGATCCGCATCTCCAGAGGAAGCAAGGAAAATTGCCTGCAAGGTTTGCGTGACTCCGTGTGGCCCATGTTCGGTGCTATGCACTGAGCTAAGAACAGCAAATACCATGCCAGTTTTGCTGAAATAAATCCTGCCTCTTCAGTGGAGTCTTGCATGATGGGCCGGCCATAAGGCGTCAATGGAAGCAAGGCAATAATCCTTTTGCCTGTGCTGTTTGGCTCTCCTTAAGCTCGTCATGCGGCAATTAACAACCATCAACGCCCATGTGTTTCCAAACTGCAAAATTCACCCCTTCGCAATCTACAGCGTCGGCATTGCTTCTGAACCATGGGGCATGGGTAGCAATCCTGACAAATAGAGCCATCACACCTGCGATTTGCAAGGGCACGCGCTTGGTGGATGCGTCCATGCGTGCCTGGCACAATTCATCACATGAATTGAATTACATTGATTACATACCGAACATCCAGTGTGAACATTGCAGCACGGATATATTTACGTGTTCAATACATGTGTAAGCTGACATAGTGACATGCCAGTGCATGTCATTGCATGTCATTGCATGTCATTGCATGATAGCCCGATTTCACCCAGCATGCCACGCCATGACACGACGTGACGTGACAGGATATAACATTCGCCGAATACACTTACGCAAATATGTGGCGCATGATGTAGATAAGCAATGTCTCGGGCATTTTATCTTTGACATACTGCGCGAGATCAGCAGCCACCAAATCCGCCACCCAAACTCTGTTGGCGCCGGTCGAGCCCAGCCTTCACCCTGTCTTCGAAAGGTGCTACACGCGCGCCACCTCCACAGCACATGAACTTGAGACACCCCCTCAGACCTCGGTCGTGGATTGAGGGCCCTTTATGGGCAATGGCAAGTTGAGCAGCGCAGCCGTGCCAAGCCTGCGGGCACAAGCTGGATCTCCCCCCTGAGAACCATCTCGCCTGGCAACAAGCTGAAAAGCAAAGCAGGGCAGGAAATCGCTCAAATCGTTAGCGAGCATCAGGCTTCTTGGTGGCTGCGAACTTGCAGCATCGTGTCGACTGTTCCCTGGAAAATGCCAGCCTGGTGCATTGCGCACGGGCGCTGAGTAGCGCAACGTGCTGGTTCCATTGGGCAACTGGCTCAGCTCGCACCTTGGCTTGCGCATCATGAAGTTCAGGGCCCCGGTCACACTCCATCACATGCACAAGGAAGCGCAAAAAAAACCGACGCACGTTATTCACGCCTTTTTTCAGATTGGACTTGCGCTCTTCCTGCCAATGGGTCGCGTGCGTCGGCAATGCAGATGGCATTAGTCGACTCGAGGGCGACGGCATCACTCAGACCAATGTGTTGGGCCTTGTGATGGCCTCGGGCTAAACCCGTTGTGTTTCTCTGGGAATCCTTGGCTCAGACATCTTCCGAACTTCATCGAACTTCACTGCGCCTCTGAGCTGTTCTTTGCTAGGCCATTGGACCTAAACAAACAAAACTCAAGCATGTCTGCCGAGCCATCCCAAACTCCACTGCACAAGTCCCAGGCTAAATTGTCCTGTTGACGTTGCTTGGTGATACCTGGCCTTGACCAGTCGCGACTCCGTCCTTGGGCCTACGTCCCGGGGCCTACGAGAGGCAGCTCCGAGGCTCGGCTGAGGCCAAAGGGAAAACGGTCATTAAAGTCGGAAAGACAGATCGTGTGTCTGGTATTGCTCGGTACATCTTCATTGCACCGCAGCAAGCGACGAAAAGGCGCGGAAAGGACGGGGTTGCCTCTACGGCTTTGGCCCTGAAATGTCTAGAGACGGCTTGGCTAGGCAGGGCATGGGCAAGCAACCCCCTCTGTGCCCACTGCTGCTGGTACGCGCTGTACTCCGGCACGTGTCGCTGGGCACAAAATTGAAACTTTCAGGCTGAGGCATAACGACTCTACATGCTGACTACTACTCGCTGGTGCCACAGGAGTGGTGCAAGTGCGAATGACAATGAATATCGACCAATTCCAGTGCAAGTATGGCGGCTTCAAGACGCTTCTTGCACTTGCTTCTGCGCCCACTGCCTTGAAAGTGTATGAAACTTTGGATGGCTGTGGACCTGCTAATGCCGGAAACAAACAAATGTAGTGAGCTTGCACCCTACACGCCAAAAAGGCCCGCTCTTAAAAGGGCCCGCCCATTCCTGTGTCACAAGCATGTACGTCCTGTCAAGCGGGAGCTCCTGAAGCCAGACCCTGGCAACAAACAGATCGGCTGAACCTAGGATAAGGCGGTGCCAACAGTGATCTTGTGCTACTCTGCGCTGTTAAGCCACGGCTACCTCTGGAGCTTCCCTCGATGCCTCCGCAGCCTCGAGCTACAGTCCGGCCACGGCGCAAGAGCGCTCGATCGCCGGGATCGTTTTTGGAAGATATCCCAACAGCGACATCCGTTGAATTGCATCGTTGTTTTCGATGGCTTCCACTTTTGCTTGGGAATGCGGGCCTGGGTACGGCGAGACCTGACTTGCAGGGATTGAAAAGCACACTTTCTGCGATACAGCCTGGAGCATGGCAAAGACTTCGCGCCCCGATGAGAAAATCGAGAAATACCAAGTTGTCGCATTGTGTGATCTTGGAGGTTGTCCAGGATAAGGAAGCAAATGTCTGAGCAACTATTGTGAGTTCCTGTCCTTTCCTGGCTAATCGGCTCCCTAATTAAACCCCCCCCCCCCCCACTCCCCCGCAACACATATATATATATATATATATGGTCAATATGCATCAATCTAACTTATGCTTTTTGGATTTGCGTCGGTTTCGAATTTGCTTAACATTGGCTTAGCATCGGCTTAGTTTGGTTTTATATTGGTTCCAAAATCTATATCCCCTAAAAAGCCTGAAGTTGGGGTCGGCGGGAAAATTTGCTCGTTTCGGATTGGTTCAGAATTAGCTAGTTCTCATTTAGAATTGCGAGATTTGGTGTCTGGGAAAAATAACGTATTATGAATAACAGCGCGCATTTACTGTTTGATAGGGGGAACGGATGAATCGCATCGATTTGCATTCATAGTGCTCACCCAGCACACTCAAAATGAAAAGAAGCTCAGCCCCTGACCAATGGGGAACCGCATAGTCAGGAATGTTGAGCATGGCTAGAAACTGTTTCATTGCTGTTCCCACTTAACACAGCTTCCTCGAACATGACTCAACCAGTCTACGTCTACGGCATGGCGCGTTGCTCCGCATTGCTCCGAGTGCTTCCCCAAATGGAGCTGCCACGCTCTTGGGAAAGGCATGCGACAGGCAACCGCAAGGACTCGTGTAGTCCTCAGCCGCTCTGACAAAGCGCTTTCAATCGGCTCGCCGGACGGGTGCATTGGTGCCCAGTCACTCCCCACGAACTGCGACTGAAGGTCAATGATTTCAGTTTGCAATGGCCGCATTGAGTCCTAAGCCTGGCCATCTTTGAAGGCTTCGCACTTGGAAGCGCGTTGCCGCATTGCTTCTGGGAGGTGACTGGGGGCTTCCCGGGGGTTTCGGGCCGTTCGGCCGTGTTTTCTTCCGCTCACACGAGCTCCTCGGGCTCTTGGAAGAGCTCCGAATCTCAGGGCCAAGCCGAAGGATCGGAATGCGCAAAGAAAAGCCCAGATGTTGCGGATGCTGCCTGTTGCCCGGTTGCCCCTTCAGGCCAGCCAATGACAACCGGACATCACTTCATGTCAGTTCCAAACAGGAACTGAGTCTGAAACCGCAGATCTAATTTGTTTCGTCATTCCCTCCATCGCGCTCTCTCGCTCTCCCTCTCTCTCCTTCCCTCCCTCCCTCCCTCCCTCCCTCCCTCCCTCCGTCCCTCCGTCCCTCCGTCCCTCCGTCCCTCCGTCCCTCCCTCCCTCCCTCCCTCCCTGCCTCCCTCCCTCCCTGCCTTCCACATTTGTGAGTGAAGAGGCTTGCTCTGAGACGCCTTCTGAATCGCAGGGCGCCTAGCTCAGCCAAACAGCTAAACATGGACTCTCGACTCTCAACACATGATATTGCTTGCCTTCCAAGTGCCCAAACCAGCAAGCTGCCCTACTGCCGGCTCTGCAGGCTGAGCAGCCGCGTTCTCTGCGGAACGCTCCTCTGGCTGCTCTTTTGGCTGCTCTGTTGGCCGCTCTTCCGGCTGCTCTGCCGTCCGCACTTCTCGCTGTTCTGTCGGCCGCTCTTCCAGCTGCTCTGCCGGCTCTTCCGACTGCTCCGCCAGCTCTTCCAGCTGCTCCGCCGGCTTTTGTGGCTGCTCGGTCAGCCGCTCTTCCAGCTGCTCCGCCGGCTTTTGTGGCTGCTCGGTCAGCCGCTCTTCCGGCTGCTCTGCCGGCTCTTCCGGCTGCGCCTGCTCTGCCGGCTCTTCCGGCTGCTCTGCCGGCTCTTCCAGCTGCTCCGCCGGCTCTTCTGGCTGCTCGGTCGGCTGCTCGGTCGGCCGCTCTTCCGGCTGCTCTGCCGGCTCTTCCGACTGCTCCGCCAGCTCTTCCAGCGGCTCTTCTGGCTGCTCGGTCGGCCGCTCTTCCGGCTGCTCTGCCGGCTCTTCCGGCTGCTCTGCCGGCTCTTCCAGCGGCTCTTCTGGCTGCTCGGTCGGCCGCTCTTCCGGCTGCTCTGCCGGGTCTGCCAGCTCTTCCAGCTGCTCCGCCGGCTCTTCTGGCTGCTCTGTCAGCCGCTCTTCCGGCTGCTCTGCTGGCCGCTCTTCCGGCTCTGCCGGTCGCTCTTCCGGCGGTTTTGCCGGGCGCTCATCTTCTGGCTGCTCAGGTAGCCGGTCGTCCGGCAGTTGCTGCGCTGGCTCTTCTGGCCGCTCTTCCGGCTGCTCTGTCGGCTGGTCGTCCGGCTGCTCTGCTGGTTGCTCTTCTGCCTGTCGCTCTTCGGGCTGCTCTGTCGTCTGGTTGTTCGGCTGCTCTGCCGTCTGCTCTTCTGGCTGTTCTGTCGGCCGCTCTTTCTGCTGCTCTTGCGGTTGCTCTGCCAGCCAATCTTCCGGCTGTTCTGGTGGCTGCTGTGCCGGCTGATCATTCAGCTTCCCGGCTGGCCACTTTTCTGGCTGCTCTGCCTGCTCTGTCGGCCGCTCTGCCGGCAGCTCTTCTGGCTGCTCTGCTACATGTTCAGCGGCCTTCAGCTCTTCCGGCAGCACTCTGGGCTCAAACCGGTTTTTTGCCGGGCGCGCTTTTGCCCGTTCTATCGGGCGCTGTTCCGGCTGCTCTCCTGGCCGCTCTTCTGGCTGCCCTGCCAGCCGATCTTTCGGTTGCTCTGCTGGTTCATTCCCTGCTGGCAGATGCTTTGCTGGCCGCTTTTCGGCCAGGTGCCTAACTGCCTGTGTCTTCTCTTCCAACGGTTGCAGCGACTGCTCTGCAGACGGCGTTGCCGCTTGCACCTCCAGCTGCGCTGCGGGCTTTGGTGGCTTCGCCTTCCCTGCAGGCTGCATGGCTAAGACTTCTGCTGCTGGACCCGCAAACTCCTCCAGCTTTTCCACCGGCTGCTCTGCAGGCTTCTCGGCCTCAGCGAAGTCCTCTGCAGCCGCGCCTGACAACAGCAAGGGGTTCAAGGCCCCTAGTGATTTGTCCAAATTTTCGATTCGGTTTGACTAGTAGGGCTATATTAAACTATTACCAGATGGAATGCACCAGCCAGAGTTGAGGAACTGCGAACGACCCCAGTTGAGATCGCCATGATTTGCCCGCGCCAACCCAGTGGGTCCTGGCAACAGAGCTGGTACTTTTGGAAGAAGGGATGAGCGTCCAAAGGTGACGTCCATTTCATCTGCCGCTATGTTCTGTACCTGCCACACGCCAGGTTCAAGCAAATGGCACAAGCTGGCTCTCAGAAAAAAAGCTGGAAGATGCGTGGCTCGAAAGCATTAGCAGTGCGCAGCGGCAAGTTCTCTGCGCAAGTTCCTCTGAGCAAGTTGTTGATGCGAGTTCCTCTGGGCAAGTTCTCCAAGCTAGTTCTTGGAACAAGTTCTCTCAGCAAGTTTCCGTGAACAAACTTCTATGAGCAAGTTCTCTGAGCAAGTTCTCTCCGCGCAGCACTGGCCACAACAACTCCACAACACAGCAACCTTCCGACGCGAGTACAATTGTATAACCGGACCTGCAAAAGCGAACTTCACGTAACACTGTGGTAGCCGCCGTCTAAGAGTAAGTTCGCCTTGTCGAGCTTCACGTTCTTTCTTTCACACGCGAATTCGTAAGAATACTAACAACATTTAGCTAGCGTAAGTTTCTATTGCAACCCGCTACTGAAACTTTCTAACGCCACTTGCTGCAGCAAACTTTGCTTGTGCCTTGCTAGTGCGACTGGCTAGCGCAACTCTCTAGTGCTACTTGCCACTGCAACTTGCCTGTGCTACTTGCTGGCGTAATCCGCTAGGGGTCTTCCTGAAAAACCTTTCACACAAATGCTTTCAGGCAAAGCCAGGAAAGGCTCACCGTCAAAACTCACAGTGATCCCAACTGGGAGGCACCGGATCTCCGTCATGATCGTCATCCGCCTTGATCTCGTTGCCTGTGCAGGTAGCATGGCCAGGCACAACCTGCTTGACACAGCATGCTAGGGGATGGATGCAGGATCAACATTGTGCCATTCAAGCATCGACACTGCCACGTCTTCCAGAAATTGCACAAACCCAGCGCACGAAACCTACAAATAATACCGAACAAGAAATGGGTTGAATGTTCAATATATTATAGGCGACGTTCAGCACATCGGCGTGTTCATGAACGCTGCATCCCAGCCTTGCGCTTGCGTCTCCTTGGGACAATGGGCGGGGGCCTTGCCTTGTGGCCTTGTCAAGGAAGGAATTAAGAGTACCTACAAATTTCAAGTTTGAAAAAGGAATGAACATAGAACGAATTCCTCGCTTCGCTCTTGAATAAGCTCTCTGAGATTGGTTGAAATTGGGTTACCAACGTGGGGTGTGTAGGCGTCTCGCAGTTTTACTGGCTGCTTTGCCTTGGTCTCGTGCGTGTTGGTGTCTGGAGTCAGAAGTGACAGTGGGGTGCCTAGTTGGCATTGTGTATGCCGCCAAGTCTACAAATGGGAGCGCGCGACGTGTTGCCTTTCACCGGAATTTGCTACCACCCAGAATTGGGCCACGAAATGGGCGCGAGCAACATACCATCAATCACCACTTCTGCTCAGCGTCTGCACTTGTGGATGGCCCAGACTCGATCGCCTTGCACAAGCAATTGCGGATTGATGGTGCTTCAAACCCTCAACATTCAGCGCTTGAGCTCGGAAGGGTCCTTTCATGTTTCCGTTCTTGCACAGTCGCTGACCCAAAAATAACTCGGCGCCCCCTTTCCCACACAGAAAGCACTCTTGGCGGGACGGCGGCCTCAAGCTCGTCCTGTATATCTCCTACAGGGGCCAAGGGGGGCAAGCTCATTCTAAATCATCTTTCGCCAGTGCAATTACGAAGCGTCGTGCTACACGGCTGCACTAAAAGGCCAGCTTCCCTCCACGGAGTCTCAACATGTCCACCCTGGCCTAGTTGCTGCTCCTTCCGACTTTCGCCAGCCTGCGGCGCTGCGCATGCCAAAGACGGGTGAACGGCAATGCGACGGCAATGTCGTAAGGCAGCCACACCGCAGAGCAGAACTAAGACCCCCCTACAACCTTACCATGCCCGTGCCTTTCTAGATGTTGCACGCAAAGGCGATGGCAGCGACATACCAGAAGTGTGCCCAAAGGTTATGTCCTGAGCAGCTACATGATTTTGTTGATGCATGACTGTCTTGCAGCCGAAGTCTAAAGTGTCGTGAAACATGTCTACTAAATATCTTCACGTCGTGGCAGTGGCCTTTAGCGAGCTTAACAAGCGAGACGAATGCGTGCAGCCTGGGGCGGTGATGCACGTGTAGAACACAGATATGCTGGGCTCGGCGCCAATTCCTCTGCTTGGGCCTGGAGGGGTTGTCACGACTCAGCGATCAAGGACCTTCCCTCTGCTCCAAGCATGTCTGAAACAAGCTCGTCTCCGACCTGCTTGTGGCATCAGCCTACTTGTTGCCTCTGCGCTTGCTAGCACATTTTGGTCTAGCCACAACACTGACAGCAGCGCATAACAACGTCCGCCAAGTTCCACCATGAGCTTCTGCCCAGTACTCAACTAAGAATCCAAAGGTCCAAAGCTTTGCACAATGTTCTAGCACCCTGTTGCTCATCTTCTTCTGCATTTGACTACCTCAAACACCCGATCAGAAACCGTGCACCCTGTCTGGATGCATCTTGCGAGTCGTAGCGAGGCAAAGGGCCTCCTTCAGAGCTTCCGAAGCAGCACTGCTTACAGCCGGGTCGGCCTTGCAATTGTCTGGCCGGCGGCTGCAATCCAAGGGTTTTCCTATTACACCATGGGATTCAGCACTCTGGGGAATCAGCCTATTCTAGCCTATGTCCAACTAAAACCTGGTTTTGTGTTGGTTCATTTGGGATTGTTTTGGTGTAATCGCAGGGTGTAATAGAAAAATGTTTAGATGCAAAAAACACTGCTCACAATGTGCAATCAAGCAACTGTGTGGTCACCTTTTGGGGAAGTAGTTGCAGTCGTCCGTGTGTCGTCCAAACCTCTCTCAGCATCCTCCTTCATGGATGACACTTGCTGCGCGAGGTCCGTCAGAACCTCAGAAACCCAAGGCCGAATGAACATGCAGCTCCTTTCCAAAATGTCGGGAAGCTGCCACGTCCTCTGAACCCTCCAAAAGTGGGTACCATCTGCAGCCTGGCGACCCTAGCAGGGCGCCTCAGCTCACCAGTCCATTTCGCACAAAGGCTTGGGAAAGGTCCTTGTGGCCTTTAAATCGACCCCGAGTCAGGCCTGCAATTGCTTCCAGTTCCCTCAGCAGCCCAAATCTTTTGACTTCACCTCATGGCTCCGTGTGCCAATGCCGCCAAGTCTCACTTTGCTCCGTATTCGACTTGGTGAGCTCTCGCTGCCTGTGGTTGAAGCATTCCCACCAAACGGCGTGTCATGGAGTGCTTCGAACGAGACCGAGCTTTGAAATTTGCCAAGGTCAAGCTGTCGCGGCCGTCTGCTCCAGCCTGTCGGTGACAGTGCCGGTGAGAGCGCCGAGCATTCGGAGAGACACGACTCGCGCGCGGTGTGGAACGACCTGCCAGTGGAACCCTAAAGCCAACCCAGGCTGGCGAGTGTGTTGCCCAGCTCTGCTGGGCATCTCGGACAACGGTTCTTTCGCGCAGAAAGTGATGACAATCCGCTATGTTTAGGCTTAATGTCCGAGTTGATGCTTTTTCTAGAGCTGCAGTCCACATGTTCGAGCAAATTTGTGCTGGCTCCAGCACATGTGGACCGAAAGCTGGCACTGTTTGCCAGATGTGTCGATTCAGCCCCTTTCCCAGCTTTTTAAAAAAAGAAAGAAGAAGTCCTCTTCAGATTATGTGCATCGTATGCCAAGGCTTGTAAACTGCAACTCGACGCAAACGGTAAAACATGCAAGCCCGGACAGGGCAGGAGTCGAAGGCACAAAAAACACACACAATGCCTTATACCCCAAACTGGCCCTCTGGCTTGCCTGGCGGAGCTGTCCTCATCCTCCTGCGCGTGACTAACAGCTTGGCTGGGTAGCCGCAGCGCTGGTATTGGCGATGCATCCTGGGCAGAAGAAAGCCCAGGTCTTGTTGCAGAATGCGAGCAAAGAATGAACGCAAGCTGTGCACTCGAACTTGAACACAAAGAGGGTTAGCTGAGCAATGTTCGAACTACGCCTCACTGCCGAATCGAACCAAATTACTTTCAATCTGAGAACATGCAAACAAACCCTTCATAGGGCCCAGGTGTCGGCATCATGTCACAAAACGAGCTCGGATTGAACCCAAAGTTACATGCGGTGCCTTTCCCGGTGAGTCTTACCTCTTGAGAGGGGTCTGACCCTTCACTCGTCCTCCACTTTGGTGCCAGACTCCTGCCCGCTAGTTGAAGAGAGTATGCCTGCAGTATCAGGGTGCTCTATGGTGCTCTCACACACCCGGGCTGGGAAAAAAACGTTGTTTGGCAAGCCATGCGTGGCAACATGCCTTTGCTCTTTCATCCTTATCGATTCCCAGCAGGCTTCCCCTGCAAAAGGGACCCAATATTCCAAAAAAGCCAACAAAAAGGTTGTGGGTTCCAGCTCGTGGTCTGTTTTTCCCTCCGAGGCAGTTCCCTGCCCTACTTCGTACAACCTAAGCTGACTGCAACGGCTCCCAAGCCGCAAGCGAGGGGGCAACAGCAAGCAAGAGTCATCTGGCATCATCCCGCACAAATTATTTCCGCCGAGGAGCAACGATACAGCACCGCTTGGCGAATGCCGATTTCATACTCAAACTCCTGGCGCAATCAGCGCTAAAAATGCCGGCGCGCCACCACTGCAATATACTACGAGGACAACGCAAAAGCAAGGCTGAGCCTCCATGGGATTTATCCAGCTGCTAATTTGTGCACCTTCCTTGGCTGCGAGCAGCGGCGCACAGGCGCAATGCCATGGTCGAAAGCATCATCCCATGCTTAAGCTGGCGCCCGCACGCATGCGCGCACGCACGCATGCGCGCACGCACGCGCGCACACACACACACACATACTGACAAAGGAGAGGAGCATCCCAACAAACCGGCTTGGGAGTGATTGGGGAATGGTTTAAAAAAGTGCATTTGAGCCAAAGCAATATGTTTGTCCTTGCCAAGTGACGTTGAAGTAATAGCTGTCCCCCTCCTCAGCACCCGAGCCATCTGTGAATCTGGGCTTCAAAGCTCTCATTGGGTTGGGATGTGTTGGGTTCGAGCAAACGTGGCGGTAGCTGGCAAACCACCCCAAAACCGACCCCAAAACCGACCTCTCCCGCTGACCATGGGGCATTTGTGGCATGAGTACCATGCTCGTTTTCACCTGCGAGGGGAATGTGGGCGTGCCGGGTGCAAGCGCAGAGGCGCCTCCGACGGGTACGGCCCGCTCCAACGGCCCAACTGGCCCGCTGCGCGGTTGTACACCTGGCCGAAGCATGGCTCAAAGCCGCTCCTCAATACGTGTAACGTGGGTTGGCCGCGCTCGCAAGTGCGCAAGTGCGCAAGTGCTGCAAGGGTAGGCTTCAAACTAGAGGACGATTGGCCCGAAAGCATTTTTCCACAGGTGCTCATCCAGCCGCGGAGACACCTTTTTACATCGCTGCGGCGAGCGTGTCTGCGCGCGGCGATGCTCAGTGTGTATGGTCGCATGAGAGCTCCATCTCATCATCCTACTTTCCTCTCGAGCTGCGCCGCGCGATTTCTCACGAAAGCGGTCTGCGCAAGCTGCATTGTTCCAGGCTGCTGCGCGCAAGTTGCTCTCTGCAAGCTGCTGCGCGCAAGTGCTCTGTGCAAGTTGCTCTGCGCAAGTGCTCTGAGCAAGTTGCTCTGCGCAAGTGCTCTGCGCCAGTTGCTCCGCGCAAGCGCTTTGCGCATGTGCTCTGCGCAAGTTGGTCTGTGCAAGTTGCTCTGCGCCTGCTCTGTGCAAGTTGCTCTGCGCAAGTGCTCTGAGCAAGTTGCTTGCTCTGCGCAAGGGCTCTGCGCCAGTTGCTCCGTGCAAGCGCTTTGCGCATGTGCTCTGTGCAAGTTGGTCTGTGCAAGTTGCTCTGCGCAAGTGCTTTGTGCAATTGCTCTGTGCAAGTTGCTCTGCGCAAGATGCTCTGCGCAAGTGACTCTGCGCAAGTTGCTCTGCGCAAGTGCTGCCGGAGCTGCGGGGGTGTGCTCCGCGTACTACGTTTGTACTTATCAAAAGTTGCGATTTTCCAGCCGGAGCTGCGGGGGTGTGCTCCGCGTGCGGGGTGTGCTCCGCGTACTACGTTTGTACTTAAAAGTTGCGATTTTCCAGCCTGAGCTGCGGGAGCACGCTCCGCATACTACGTCTGTACTTAAAAATTGTGATTTTCCACTCGGAGCTGCAGGAGCATGCTCCGCGTACTACGTTTGTACTCAAAAGTTGCGATTTTCAAGCCGGAGCGGGGGTGTGCTCCGCGTACTGCGTTTGTACTTAAAAGTTGCGATTTTCCGGCCTGAGCTGCGGGAGCACGCTCCGCACACTACGTCTGTACTTAAAAGTTACGATTTTCCAGCCGGAGCTGCAGGAGCACGCTCCGCGTACTACGTTTGTACTTAAAAGCTGCGATTTTCAAGCCGGAGCTTGCGGGGGTGTGCTCCGCGTACTACGTTTGTACTTAAAAGTTGCGATTTTCCAGCGGGAGCACGCTCCGCACACTACGTCTGTACGGAAAAGTTACGATTTTCCAGCCAAAGCTGCAGGAGCACGCTCCGCGTACTACGTTTGTACTTAAAAGCTGCTTTTTAAACCGGAGCTGCCGCGGACCAAGAAGGAATCGAACCCGCGACCGCGGGATTGCGAAAGCAGGCGCGCAAACCACGAGACAACTTCCAAAGGCCGTTTCGCGAGCAAGAAAATTGCACGGCGCCACAGCGAGAGCGCTTCGACGCGCACGATCCCCGCAGAGGGTCGCGCGCGCACCGTAGAAATCGTAAAAAGCCCTCAGTTTTTGAACCTCGACCACGCGAATCTCCGCAGAGGGTCGCGCGCGCATGCTAAAAATCGTAAAAAGCCCGCAGTTTTTGAACCTCGACCACGCGAATCTCCGCAGAGGGTCGCGCGCGGCCAGCAGAAATCGTAAAAAGTCCCAGTTTTTGAGCCTCGACCACGCGAATCTCCGCAGAGGGTCGCGCGCGGCATGCAAAAATCGTAAAAAGTCCACAGTTTTTGAACCTCGACCACGCGAATCTCCGCAGAGGGTCGCAATCCCGAGCGACGATGAAACTCCCGCCCCGGCGCCTTAGAAACCTAAACTAACTTACATAGCTGCTAACGCCGAAGCTCTAAGCTCTACCTAACCTTGGCTCTATGTAACTTGGCTCTATGTAACTTGGCTCTATGTAACTTGGCTCTATGTAACTTGGCTCTATGTAACTTGGCTCTATGTAACTTGGCTCTATGTAACTTGGCTCTATGTAACTTGGCTCTATGTAACTTGGCTCTATGTAACTTGGCTCTATGTAACTTGGCTCTATGTAACTTGGCTCTATGTAACTTGGGCTCTATGTAACTTGGCTCTATGTAACTTGGCTCTATGTAACTTGGCTCTATGTAACTTGGCTCTATGTAACTTGGCTCTATGTAACTTGGCTCTATGTAACTTGGCTCTATGTAACTTGGCTCTATGTAACTTGGCTCTATGTAACTTGGCTCTATGTAACTTGGCTCTATGTAACTTGGCTCTATGTAACTTGGCTCTATGTAACTTGGCTCTATGTAACTTGGCTCTATGTAACTTGGCTCTATGTAACTTGTCCAAGGGCTCCGCACGGAAGAACCCTTCGCAATGCTTTCGGGAAAAAAGAGAGACTGCTTCGCAATCAAGAAGCAGTTTTAGCAATCGAACAAACTTTGTTCACTCAGGGCTACATTATGTGACCAGTGTGGCATGCTTGGTGTTTGTTCAAAGGAAGTTTAGAAGGAGCTTCTCAAGTGCTGGAACGGAATAAGTTAGCTCTTTGGCAGCGAGCACGTGATCATTCAACACTAGACGCACTGCTACATGCATGAATATGAATCGCATGGGAGGTTGCCTTAGCACATGCAAGCAAAACTATGCCGCGCTGAGTGTTCATCCGGTCGCGGACCGCGAGTTGTCCGTGAAATTCGCATGAACGATGGGCTTAAAAAGCCGAACAAGGTCATCTCAAGCCGAGCAACGGCCAAATAAAGAAGGGGGGCACAGCCCCCTTGCATTAGAAAACGCATAAGGACACTATGGGGTTTCGTCAGGGGGGGGGGGTTCGGATGGGTTTTAGGATTGGCTTAGGGTAGTTTTGTGGGGGGTGGGTGGGGGGTGGCTTAGTGCGTATAGGATTTTTCTTGTTTATTGTGAGTTTGTTTAGGGTCTTTAAGGATTCATTCGGGTTTCTTCAGGGTTGGCTTAGGTTTTGTTTTAGGTTGGTTCAGCTAGTTTTAGTGGTGGTTTAGGCCTATATAAAACCTACCCCCCCCCCCCAACCCACCCTAAAGCAACCCAGTAGTGTCCTTATTTGTTTTTCTATTGGGGGACTGCGGCCGTCGTTCACCGTAGCACCTTGTTTACAATCGCGCACTTTCTCCATTAGTGCCCTTGGTTATTTTCTGTGGGGGGTGCCCCCGCCCCCCAAACAAACCCTAAACCACCACTAAACCAACCCTAAACCACGATAAGCTAAAACTAGAACCGGCCTAAAACCAAAACCAAACGAACCCTTAAACCCACCCTAACAACCCACCCTAACAACCCACCCTAAACCAACCCTAAACCACGATATGCTAAAACTAGAACCGGCCTAGAACCAAAGCTATTCCAACTCTAAAGAAACCAAACGAATCTGCGAAAGGGTTTGAAACAGTATTTCGGGAGAGAATAAACAGGCCCAATCCCACCAACAAGAAGAGATTGTTTAAGTCCCCCAGTCCCAAGGGCAAAGCGGTGCCCCCGGCTGGCACAACCAACGAACCAAAACAGGGTGCCTTTGACCAAATGATGAATGAACCCAGCAAGGGCAGAGACAACCGAAAGCGAGCACAAAGCAGCAAACCAAGCAGGCAAACAATGCAGCGCACAGTGAGCAAGGCAAACCAATAGCGCAATCCCCAACCCCGAATCCTGACCCACCACCAAGACCACCCAGCCGCCGTAGTCCGGAGCGTGGGGCACAACCTCCCACGCGCCGGCACAGCGCCGCTGGCAGCAGTTTTGACGCGATGGCAAGATGAAGTCGCCGGGATAAAAGCTTGAGCCAAACGGCGCATTGGCCGTGGCGTTGAAACATGTTGCGATAAAACTACATGCCCCCAAAAACACCCCCCTCGCCTGTATCCTCCCATTGGGAAAGTGGGATACATCGGACTCGGGAACGGGAAAGGGGCAGCCTGTGCACCCTTGTATCCCGACCCGCGGGCATCAGGCTGATACCCGCCAGTGGGAGTTCTCGATCTGGCGGATCCGCCACGACCGAACTGCCCTTGTTGGTAGCCGTATTGGCCACCCTTGCCTTTGTACTGATCACCCTTGTGACCCTTTCCTGGAAACTGGTCACCCTTGTGACCTCCACCCTTGGGCCAGGATTGCGCAGGGGCTTTGCCCTTTTGCTGATCCCCCTTTGACCTGGATTCAGGTCGCGGGGTAGCAGACCGATGATCTCCCCTAGGAGTGGCCGCCCGCCTATGGTGCTTCCCAGTCGGCGGGTCAGCAAAAACAATGGCGCATTGGCCGTCGCGCTGTGCCGCGGGGACCATGTCAACCTTGTTGTTCTCGACATAAATGTATGCCTCAGCATACTCAATCGGGGCCGTGATGGATCCACCACCGGCCCGCAGAGAGTTGATGCTCAAATCGAGAACTGTGGAGGCATCAAAACTTGGGTCCTCACTATTGAAGTCCGAGAGGCGTCGCTCTGCCTGTACCAATGACATTATGATGTCCGCACGTGAGGCGCCTAGGCCATACAGCGGAACCAAATATCCGTCCTCAATTCCGATGCGGTAGGCATCATAAATATGCACAGAGAGGTAAAGAGCAAATGCTGAATTTAGACTGCCCTTTCTCGTCATATGACGACCCCATTGCGCCGCCTGTTGCGGGTGCTCGACCAAATATGTCATGACAGACATATTGTCGGGAATTGGGACGCCAGTATTGCTCTCCTCGATGAGCAGCTGTTTCGCTACCCACCGTTCGAGAGCCTCGTCACTCGCACGCACACAAGCGTGGGTGTCCTTTGAGGTGACTTTCGCAACCTCCTGAAACGCAACCTGCACGGTATCCGCATTGGGATTGTGCACAAGGTGAGGCGCACAGCGCAAACCGGAGATCATACAGCTGACCACCTCGCGGATCGGGTTTACCGACGCCATGAGAGGAGCCCACACGTCAGTCTCCCCTTCGTACCAGCTGTTGGCACGGACTGCCTTGAGTCCGTCCAAC